TAGTAATGAACGCGTTGACGTCATTCAAATTACGGAGGCTGGGGCGCTGGTCTCTAGCGCCCATTGAGGATTTGTATTATGTGGCTAAGATAAGCTAACTTTTTAATGCAGAAATGGGATCTGAGCATGCGTGAGAGCCCAAAAACCTCGGGCGCTTCGGCTTGGAGCCCCAGGTGTGATCTGAGCATGCGCGAGAAAACAGACGCTCTGATTCTGCCCCGATGCCGTGTGGAGAGATCTCTAACGGACTGAAATACACATTTAAGGGAATGATTGGTATAATAGCATGATTTCCTCATTTTGACTATAAGTTTCAGATAAATAATAGACATTTCTTTTTGCTCATGCTGGCTCACGCAGCTCAGGCGGGGCTCCGCCCACAGCGCCCCTATATACCGGCCGCCACTGCTGTTGTTACTCTTTGCTTGCTGCTGCAGAAGAAAAACCTCTCAGTGCAGCGTAAGTGACATTCTCCAACATTAACAGGGAAGAAATTCAACCAGGTAGTCTTTTACCAAACTCACCTGATAAGTTAAAACCATTCCAGGCAACAACCTCATAAAATTGGTTAACACAATGTGAAAAGCTGTTTTCAAGACAAACACTGGCTCCTTTGAGAAATCTGAAATATTAGAAGTGTGTGTGTTTTTTTCTTCTTCTTTTTCTCTTATTATCATTCTTGTTGATTTTTCATTACATAATTTCATAGGTGTTTCTTATGTCTTCTGTTTTGTTCTACAATAGAAAAAATAGTAAAGATAAAGAAAACCCTCAAATGATCAGGTGTGTCCAAACTTGCGACTGTAGTGTAGGAAAAACAACAAACAAAAGAGAAAACTGAACATTGTTCAAGCCATCAAAAGGTTATTTACAGTTTTTGTGTTCTTTCCTTCCTACTCTCTCAAGCCAAGTGTCGTGACAAGCAAATACAGAGTAAATAACTTGGTCATACAGTTGTGATGAAGCAATCAGAACTGATATTCAAGTGGATTTAAAATCACAGTTCAAACAGGTCACATTTGCTACAAAGTCAGTTGAAGCTGGATGCTTTTTTTCTCCCCTATTTTACATGTGGATCACTGCAGCAACCACCGCCTTGTGCACCATAAGCTCAGTGCACTGAAGAAAACTACTGGCATATCGCCCACTTGTAAGTTCCAGTGTCGCTCCCTGGGCTCCTTGCTGATGTGTTTTATGAAAGTGAACACTACGAAAACACAGGCATCAATAACCCACACACATCACACTGCTGATCAGAAAGTAGCATAGACAGAGTAAATATCTGGGTAGAACACAGTGCCAACAGATATATTTTGCACCTAAACTATAGGACAGTACAATTCCACTTATCTCAAATCTTTACACTCTTATTTGCTTTATTGTACATCTACATTTTGCGTTCACCAAAGCGTAACTATGGCTTTTACATCTCACAATTACCAACTAATTGCTTCCTAATTACAAGAAAACAACTTTAATTACAAAATCTTTTCTCCTAATTAAGAGCAATGAGGAAGAGATTTAGAAGACTGTGTGTTTTCATTATGATTACATTAT